GTGCCCTGACAGTATACCAATGGTGTCCAGGGGGAGAATTTATACTGCACATTGCACATACAGAAAATGGTAACAAACCCTGGAGATTGCAATGTCCAGGTTTTGTCTTCTTACCTCCATGCATCATGGCATGTGCTGGCAACCATGTGGCATATATTACGTGGTTGGCTGCACAGGATGAGCAAGCCCCCTGCCTTCTTATCAACAACCATCTCTCCATAACACTGGTAAGCATATCTGCCCATCCCCCTTGTGACCTGAGAATAATTGTGTCATCCCATAGTGAACCAGAGAACACTGGTGGAACAATGATGCTATCTTACACAGGCTGGCATCTTTGGCATTCCCTGATACCAGAAGGAATGTGCTGCTGGATCTATGCTTGGATCCTTGTCCTGGCCACTGGAATAAAAAGCCTGGGTGCCCTAATATATGGGAAGATGCTGCCTGTTCAGCGGGTGACTGCACTGCCATTTGGGCTAATTGTCAAATGCAGCTCTATGCGTGAAGGTGATGTGATGGAGTATGTCAATACATTGGATGGGGTTCCAACCCCCAAAATCTTCAATTATGTGAAGCTCTCCAAACCCTTGGCATCCTGGTTCCCTTGTGACCATGGGGAGAAGGCCTTGCTGATCATGCAGCATCTCCACAGTGATTCCATCAGTCCTCAGTTACAGAACTGCACTGACTGGCAGGTGGATCACCTGAGCGAACAGGTGGGCCAAGTGTTTGCAGCTCTTTGTTGTGCAACCCCTGCCACAGATGAGGTTTGCGGGATCAGAGGTTGCCCTTGTATTTCTTACAATATATCACTGGATACCTTCAGACCATTTGACTTGGTTGCATCTTTCAATGGGTACATGGTGGAGCAGGCCCAGCATCGGATGTCCTCTGATGCACCATGTCTACCAAATTGACCTGACCAAGGGACCATCTTCAGTCATGGTGACTTGACCCCCCACAACATCCTGGTCAACAAGAGTGGGAGTTTGGTTGGAATTATGGATTGGGAATGTGCTGGATGGATGCTCCGGCACTGGGACCTTGCTTATGTGAGCCAAACTTTTGGGATTGCAGCCATAGGCTAATCAAGTGGTAGTCAACATATGGAATGCGAGGTCTAGCCTCTGATGGAGTGCGAGGTCTAGCCATGCACTCCTTATAATGTCATCCTCAAAAGGAGCAAAGTGCGTGGTCAAGCCATGCACTTTGCTCCCTGCAAGTGTTACCTCTGAGGGGGGAAAGAGGCATAGTCTAGCCATGCATTCTGTTCCCCCTCAGGGGGAGAGTCAGACTTGGAAAGAGGCAGCATGCTTGGTCAAGCCATGCATGCTACCCCTCTCCAAGTTGTTGATGCAAGATAGAGAGAGCATGTGTGGTTGAGCCATGCATGCTATGCCACCAATCCAAAGCAGAGAACATGCATGGTCAAGCCAAGCATGTTCTCCATCTCCACAAATGCATTTTGGAGACTGTATGCATGGCCAAGCCATGCATACAGTCTCCCAGGATAGCCCCCCACCCCACCCAATCTTGGGTGGGGTGGAGACAATGTGGGCAAGAGGCACATCATACCTACAAAAATGTCAGTGGTGGTCGAAGGAAGAAGAGCATGTTTGCTTCCGTGGACACGTCAAAAAAGTTAAGGCCCTAGGACCCTGAATTCTGGCTCCATTTGCTCCCATAAGACCATCATCACAAGAAGGCTTTTAAAAGGCAGGCACAAAGGCCTTGGTCTTTGCACATCTTGATTATCTACCACCACCTGCTAAACTTAACCATGGCTTCTGCAATCACTGCATCCAGTATCCTGTGCCGCAGAGCAGGCAAGGGACGAAACATGGCTGAGGCATGGAGGAAAGCAGGGAAGAGCCCCCCTTTCCACCTGGTGCCAGAACAGGGGGCAACCAGGATATGCAGCTGAAGTGGGTTGTCCTCGACATGTATGCAATGATAGATGAAGAGGAAGGGTATACTGGTGTAAGTTCCTTTATCCTCTTCATGTGGAACATAGTAATCCTAAATTTAACACAGGATTGGACCAAGGACAAGGAGATCATGGTGGAACTGATGGACCCAATAAAGAGGATCCACGCCATGCCTTTGGAGGAAGCATAAGTGAGATTTAATATTACTTCAAGGCATTGCTGATATGGTACAGGCTTGGGAGACCTGGGATGGGTGATGGGTTCCTTTGTGGGCTTGTTGAAGAAATGGCAGTGAACAGAGAATTCCTGGAAGAGGAGTTCAGAACAAATAGGAGGCTGAAGAACAAACAGTTTGAAGTGGCCAGGATCCATGGTTGGGCAGCAGATGAAGTAACAGGAGTGAGAGGGTTATCTTTGTATCATGTTCCTACTAACTCAGAATTACTTAGGAACTGATGTATGCCATCACTTGGAAAGGCAAAACATTAGCCCATGATGTGAGGGACTGCCTGAATGAAAACCGGTTTCTGGTTTATGCTCAGCCTATGAGTAACAAGGAGCCTGCAGCAGGGAGCATTATGCACCATCTGTGGTGTATGCCTCATTTGGAATTGGTGTGAGTACCTGATCTATTGTCTTGTGTCCAGGTTGATGCTGAAAAGAGTTCAGGAGAGGGTGTCAGCACCTCTTGTGGGAATTTTGGGGTGGAATTCCCAATGCGGAACAACTGGCAAAAGGAAAGGAAGTGATGGTGTGGGACCCCCAGTTGTCTTTTCTGAGCAGAGACAGAGAGATGATGGTGCATCTCACATGGGAGCAGCTGATGTCCTCATCTTCCCTGGTATGTGATGTGCTGTAATCCTGCAGCATGACAAACTGATGTCCTTCCAGTTGTGTGGAGTGTGCCGGAATATTTGCCCGTCATGCATGACCTCATGCATTGAGTGTGGCAAGGACTTCTGCATTAACTCCTCTCATGGGGAAGGTTGTGCAAAAATTGAATGGACAGAGATTGAGAAACTGGGAGGCATCCGATGTGAGCCCTGTTATGCAGCAAGAAAAGAAGTTTGGCGTGTGAGTTTTTTTTTGTGGATTGAGTATAATGTACTAAGGAGGATAAGTACAAAATTTGGGGGAGTTTGGAGGCTTGGGCAAGGGGGTCTGCTAAGCCATGGCCTATCATGGCACTCTTTGTTCATTGGAAGGAGGAGGACAGATTCAGCATCAGCGCCTTTTCATCTCAAGCTGCCAAAGCACATCTAGGGGGGATGTTCCTGAATGATAGAAAGGTGTGTCCGCATAGGTATTGAGATGTTTGACTGATGGTGAACAGATGGAAATGTTCAACTGGGTCAACATCGAATTATCCTACCTGGGAATGAGGTGGCAGGTGGGAAACAGCCCAGCCAAAGCAGTGGTCTCCATGGACACAACTTGGTTCCTCAAGGAGGACATTGCAAATTGTCTGGCAGGCATGAAGGCAAGGCAGAGTAGTGTCTTTGTTGGAAGATGAAAAATATATTGATGGATTACTAGGCACAGAGAAGACTTCCACATTCTGTGCATTGTGGATACACATTCAGATATGAAGGAAGACAACTTGCAGCTACTCTTACCTGGTATGGATGGAGAATGGGGCAATCTGATGGATGTAAGTATGGGAAGAGCTACTGATGGGATGGAACTAATCAATGGAATAGTTGACGGCCTTCCTCTTCAGGGACCTGATGCCTCGTTCAGAGTGCAAGAGCACATGTTGCATGTTGCATGCCTGTACAGCCGCAGTGACAAAGGGAGGGGGAAAAATCAAGCAGGCCAGGTAAGGATTTTGAGGAATTGCAAGTTGTATGGGCTTACTTTGGCTCAGGCACCTTTGGCATGATATCATTGCATTCACAGTGCCAAAACTTGAACCCCACCATTTGACTGAGCATTTCCTCCTCCCATTCCTCTGCCATTGCTTCCTCAACCACAGAACCTTCAAGGACACTGTCAGGCGTGCTTATGACAAGGAACTGTGCATTGAGCATGATTACAATCTCTACTGGTTTGGGGAAGACAAGACAAAACATTGCAAATCACAACTGGTGCTCCTCAGAAGAATTGGAATGGAAATCTGCTTGATCAATTCTGTCCCACCTGCCATTGGATCATGCAATGAAAGGGAGCTCAAAAAGGGAAGGAAGCTAAACATGGTCAATGGTTCTGCTGCACAAGGAAGCACTGCCAGAAGGGGCAAGTTATGCTGAAATTCCGGAATGGACAGAATGGGGTTTGGGCAGCTTATCCAAACCCCCAGGATGAGAAATGGCATGTACTCGAAATTCAAGTCAACTTCAATGAAAAATGGCCCTGCCTTCAGCCTCAGCCTACTTGTAACATTGGGTGGATTGCAGAGGCTGAGGAGGTGGAGGAAGATGATGGGGATGCTTCATCACTTTCACCACCTCCTGAGTCCCCTGTACAAGATACTGCTTGGATTGAGGAAGAGCCTTTGAAAGAGGACAATGCACCATGCAGCCTATTGCTGGCAAACTCTGGGGAGACTGAATATGACCCTGATTGAGTGACACCAGATGCTGATGCCATGGTGGTCAACCTGGTGACTGTGGACTTGAGGCAGCCAGGAGGGTCTAGCAGTGCTAAATGCTTGAGCACTGCTACCCGAAAGAATCCTGCAAGGGGAAGGGGAAGACCGGTTCAAAGAAAGGGAAGGGGCAGTTGGAAGGACCAGGACAACATGAGGGGGTGAAGAGATTGCCCGGAGCAAAATTGATGGCACCAGGATTGAAGGCATATCTCCATAGCAAGAAGACTGCCAGTGTGGAGAAGTAGGTGTCAGGGCACCAGCTCATTGCTTGGTCAAGAGACATGACTAAGCCTTTATGACATGGAAGTAGCTGGTATACCTTGGCATGTGCTGGAACCTGCTGGAAGGATTGGATGGTCAGGTGACCTGCTGTGCATGGCTGTGCATGACCTCATATGACCTCATCCTTGGTCATATGACCTGATCACCTGACTAGGCTGAGTAAGCAAGATGTTCTAGCAGGTTCCACCACAGAGGTATAAATATAAGGCCTACTCTGCCTGGGACTGTCTCTTCAGACTTGGTCTCTTAGGATCATCCACAGGTACCTATACTGTAGATAGGTCTTAGTCATCAGGTCTACTCCACTTCCTTGTTGCCTGCTTAGACTCTTGGCACTCTTAGGTGAGCAG